GCCTCATTTACATGCACGGGGTGGGAGGGGGGGAGCGACTTGCCAAACTTGCTGCGCGGTCCGTGCAGGGCGCGAGAAAGAGCGAGGGAGGAGACTCGCGCTGCCTTTGGCGGGCACACTTTGTATCCCGCGCCGAATGACACTAAGTTAGTTCTGCAGCGGCAACTCGTCTCCCTCTCTTTCCCCCGCCTCCCGGGTCGATGTTTGGTACGTTCCACTTTCCCCAGACTAGTTGGGTCGTCTTAAGTGAGTTCGAGAGGGAGGCGAGGTGGGCGGCGAGAGAGCCGCCCCAAGTAGCCATAGGTGGGGAAGTTAGGTTGCCTGGGAAGCGTTTGCAAGGAGCCTTGTGTGACCGAAACTGAGTTTGGGGTGCCAGGAGAAGAAGGGGCTGGAGCTGGAGCGAGGAAGGGAAACTTTCGTAGGAAGGAGGGCAGCCGAGCAAAGTTCTGCTGCAATTGCTCCAAAGGCGGGGTGGGGAGGGAGTGAAAATGGGCGTCGGTGGAAGCCGAGCGCAGATTGGAGCAAAGATGGGATTTGTTTCACGCGCACCGAAGAAAAACAGCAAAGAGGGAAAACATCTGCGGGGTGGGGGGGCGGCGGAGGGAGTGCTTAGGAGGCGCAACCCTCGAGCGAGCCGTCGCCATTGGCGGCCTGGCGGCGCCTCTCCACCCTCCCCTCGCCGCCCCCTTCCGCCACGCGCCCTTCTTACGCAGCCCCGTCGCGGCTTCGAGGGCACCAGTTGCGCGCGCCCCGCGTCTCCTCCCTCCCTCCCAGTCTTGCGCGGCCAGTGCTCCGCCAGCTGCTGCCCTCGTGCTTAACTTTTCTCTTCGTGCTTTCCAGGTGCCTCGGGTCGCTCTCCCCGCCGCCGCCGCCGCGATGCCGCCCATCCCTTCAGGTGAGTGGGGCGGGAGCCGAGGTGGCGCATCTGCCCCCGAGGCTGGGACGAGGCAGGATCTGCACGGCTGGTAGGCCGATGTGGTCGAGTCCTGCGAGAGTCCCAGACGACTTGAATAATGAGAGGGGAAACAGGCCCCGGGAAAGTCACTCTTTAGTGATCTAGCAGGTAGAAGGCCAGCCAAGCCCTGTGTCTAATGCCCCCTTTTTATGCTCCTATAAAAGTGTTTGGAAATAATCCCCTTTTTCCCAGGGCGCTCCGAGGCCTGATTTAAATTGGGGAGAGAGAGAGGGAATCTCTGTGTGCTTTTTTATGAGTTGAGACTTGCTTAAACTGTGCTGCGGGCAGCCTGCTCAAAGAGAATCCCTGTGCATAGTTTTTGTGCTAGAGATTGTAGGGGGGGGAGATTATACCGCTGTGCCGTCCAAGGCCCCCCCCCCCCCCCTACTTTGCACAGGTTGCTCAGGCTTCGTTTCTACTCTGGCAGGGGATTGAGATGGTAGAAGGTTGAGGTGGGCCGCAGGGGGGGGAGGTTCCTTGCAAGAAGTGGGAGCTTTCCAAAATGGAATGCTCCACTTTTAAGGCAGGGCAGGCTATTCTGCTGCCTCATTCTCATGCATGGGTAAAGGGGGTCCTAACTAATGTTCCCTCTAAGCCGTGGAGTCTTGTGAGCAAAAATTCTCCTTTGTGAGCGACTGATGTTAAAGTTGTGAGCGAGCGATTTGGCTGCTGCATAAAATTAGTATGCTCTGGAGCCCTCCTTCCTGAGCAGAGGCAAAAATGTGTGAGCCGGAGGTTAAAAAACTGTGAGCTAGCTCACACTAACTCAGCTTAGAGGGAACACTGGTCCTAACTGAGATGGCTGAGGCCTTCCAAGGTCACGTAGCATCTTTGCCTCGCTGGCATGTTATTTGAACTGGACCTGAAGAGCACCCTGATTCCTTAGGCCTGTGCCACTTCATTCTGACTACATGGTGTGTCGCTGGCATTCATGGGAGACAGGGGAAGTTTTCTGGGAAGCAGGCTTTCCCCGTTGCCTACAATGATTTCTGGTCAGATTTCAGTTTTCCTATTTTTTTAAATGTGAGCTCCATTGGTAACAAGGGGCATGTGATCCTATGCAAGAGGCGTGTCAAGTACAATGCAACGTATCTTCATCCCTGCCAATTTCAGTGTGATTATGATGGTGTTTGGAAATTCTGTGTAAAAACTTTCTGTAAAGAAAACAGCCTATGCGGATGAGGAAAGGCTGAAGGACTTGGGGATGTTTAGTCTGGAAAAGAGGAGGTTGAGGGGGGACATGATTGCTCTCTTGAAGTATCTGAAAGGCTGTTACTTGGAGGAGGGTCAGGGTGCTGTTCCTGTTGGCAGCAGAGGATAGGACTCGCAATAATGGGTTTATATTAAGGGCGGGAAGGTACCGGGTGGATCTTAGGAAAAACGTTTTTACAGTAAGAGTTGTGCAACAGTGGAATCAGCTGCCTAGGGAGCTGGTGAGCTCCCCCTCACTGGCAGTCTTTAAGTGGCGACTGGAGAAACATTTGTCAGGGAGGCTCTGTAACATGTAAAGCCAGTGGGAATCCTAGCAGAGTTCATGAACCCCAGAGTTCCATGAGGTAAGAACCTAAAGTCCTTCAAATGCCACAAAGGGGGGGGGGGAGAGATGCGGCTTGCTTACAACATACAGAGCAAGGTCCTGTGCAAAGGTTGTTCTGAAGCTCTACACAGTTTCAAATATTTGCTCATTTTTATTGCTACCGTAATGAAAAATTCTGACACAAGTTATCCTTACAGTTAATGTGCACATTAATTATGTAAGTTATTTATTAAGCATTACCCCAGGTGTGCTTAAAATGGTGTATAATGTAGATCAAACAAAAGCAATTTCTGTGCAATTCACCAGAAATCTAAGAACAGCAAAGCCAGCAGAGGAATAAACAGTATACCACAAATAAATGGTGTCAGTTAACAGGCGCTGTCATTCATCACTACAAATCAAAGTTATTTTCTGAAAATAAAAGTTTTTAACTCCGTCTGGAAGACCTGTAGGGACAATACCAAACTCACTTTCAGGGCGAGGGAGTTTTCCACGTCTGGGACTGGTAGCTTCCAATGGAATTGGGCTCTGTGATATCTCATTGACATCTTGGAATAAAATGTATTTGGAGACAATGAAGAGATTGCTTCCCAACCCCCCTCCCATTTTAATGCTTCATTCTGGTTATCTCAGTGTTTATTCTCCTAAACATTCCTGATATCTCAAAACAGATTTCAGAGCTTAATAACTTAAACTAACTTTTGTTCTGCCTTAGAGCTAAAACTTGGCAAAAAAATAAATGAGGGCAAGACGAAAGAGGTTTATGAATTGCCAAGTCTCCCAGGATGTGTTCTGATGCAATCAAAAGACCAAATCACAGCCGGGAATGCAGCTAGAAAAGATCTCATGGAAGGGAAGGCTGCTATCTCGAATGCAACAACAAGCTGTGTGTTTCAGTTGCTTCAGGAATCTGGTAAGTGGTGAAAGCTGTGGAGTTGGACTAGAAAGCATAACTGTTTGTTGGAAAGCTATTTACAGCTGTAAAGATACAATTAGAATTTTCTAGCTGGGAAGATGTACGCAAACCATGTTGGCAATAGGAAAGGAAGCAAGAGGTTATTTTATCCTTCAGTTTTGGAAACGTTGCTCATCTGCACTTCATATTACCAGACATAGAAGAAGAAGAAGAGATGGGATTTATACCCCGCCCTTCACTTGGAGTCTCAGAGCGGCTTACAAACTCCTTTCCCTTCCCTTCCCCACAACAGACACCCTGTGAGGTGGGTGGGGCTGAGAGAGCTCTAACAGAAACTGCTCTTTTTCAAGACAGCTCTTGTCAGGACTACGGCTTGCCCAAGGTCACATCAGCAGGTGCAAGTGGAGGAGTGAGGAATCAAACCCGATTCTCCCAGATTAGAGTCCACGCACTTAACCACTACACCAAACTGGCTGATATAATCAGTAATTTTCTATTTACCATTGAAGGGCATTCTCAAGATCACTACAGTTTCAGAAAGAAGACCGAAAGATGATGTAATATTTTTTTAAATGGTGATTCCTCAAAAACATATCATATTTTAGTAGTTATTATGGTCTCTAGTACCACTCCTCTGTCCGCACCTCTGGCCAAATGACTTACAAAGAATGTTTAAAATGTTGGTTGTAGCTTGTGTGGTCTTCCCCTTGCCCTCCTATTTTCATATCCCACCTCTATCTATATATCACTTCAGATCTGTAATCCTTTTCCCTCTTAGGAGTTGTCAGATCTCAAACATGAGGTGCAGTCTGTTTTCCCGCTTCCCTCGATACCAAAAAACTGCACTGACACCAGAATCACTCTGGATCCTGGCAATTTAAAACCCTCTCTTTTTTTGGTACTAAAGATCAATGAGCATGAGTGTTATCCCTGAAACCTGTAATCTAAGATGAAGTAGTGTTGAGCACTGAGTATTTATAAAATAACATGAATAAAAAATAAATCTTATGTTAAGAATCATATAGAGTTCAGAATATTCGAAAATCACTTCTCTTAACCGCCAGTGGATCAGGCTAATGGCCCATCCAGTACAACATTGTCACACAGTGGCCAAAAATACCAGGTGCCATCAGGAGGTCCACCAGTGGGGAAGGGCATGTCTTTTTTTCTTATCAGTTGCCCAAACTTCCTCATTTTATCAAAATCAGCTACATACTGGTGTCCCATGAAGAAATCTTGGTTTTGAGTATGCTCTGTGGCTAAAAATTAATGTTTTGGAGCCTTTTCTCCTGTCCTAAAATATGTCCCATGCATAGTTCTAACCAATGTTCCCTCTAAGCTGTGGAGTCCTGTGAGCAAAAATTCTACTTTGTGAGCTACCGGCATTAAAGTTGTGAGCAGGTGAATTGGCTACTGAATAACTTAGTTTGCTCTGGAGCCATCCTTCCTGAGCAAAGACAAAAATGTGTGAGCCGGAGGCTAAAAAACTGTGAGCTAGCTCACACT